GCGGAGTGTGTAGCTGTTTAAATACAATACGTGGGCGAACACGATAGTCAGTTTTCTACAAGTAGGTGGTGGACTCCCACTATTGTAGCAGATGAATATCGAAAGGTGGGAGGTTATTTAAAACCTCGATAATTTGGTATTTTCCTTATCAAGATATGCAAAATTGAGTGTTGCATGTATGTCGAAAATTTTAATTTCAGATAAGCAGAAAAGTTTAAGGCAAGGAAAAATACATATTACCTACATGCTTATTATCTGATTTTAAATTAGCATTTTCTAAAAGTTTTTTTTTTTATAGGAACCTCGTAAAGAGTATATGTACCTATTACATAACTTTATAAAATATAACTAAAAATTTTTTTATTAGAGCATAAATATAGATCTTTCTACATTTTATTTGGTTTTTAAAAGAACTTTTTTTATTTACAACACTATAAAATGTTTTAAAATGCATTAATTTAAAACAAATAAAAATGATCAACAATCCAACTTTCAAAATGGGAAAATATAATTACCAGGAAAATAAGAAAAAAAGTTTTTCCAATTTTTTAGTAGATGAAAAACAATTTGAACAAATTAAAACTGTATTTACATTAGCTATTGTATTCAGATTTCTTTTTAAAAACAATTTCAAACATTAGATTATAGCAGAAACGTTTTGAAAAAACAAAACAATTATAATTACTTAAATTAAATTTCAATTATATATACTTCAGAAGACTTTTTTATTTTTTTTATATTTTTAATCGCCTCTTCCCTAGAGGGTCATTGGCGGCTAGTTTTCTATATTCTATTGTAATAATCCGTCTCCATTAAGTACCGGAATAGGGTGGTGACTCCTTCTTCGTTGTCTCTTAATATTTCTTTTATTGTCATTGGTAGTTTCAATTTTTGCCGAATGTTGTTGAATTCGTTGCACTCTACTAACAGGTGTTTTACTGACTGTGGTGTATTGTCACACTTTTGACACGTGGGTGGTTCCAGCCTTCTGAGAAGGTATCCGTGAGTAAACAGGCATTGGCCTATTCGTATTCTGCACAATATTGTTTCTTCTCTTCTGGATATTCTTGTGCTACTAGCCCACTTGTTGCAGTCTGTTTTTATTTCCATTAATTTTGACTGTCTATTTTTCCATCGATTTACCCAATTTTCCAACAACTTCTTTTTTGTTGCGTGTACCCAGTCTTCTACTGTGATATAATTTATAGAAATTATGGTTGGTGCCTCTCCCTTCCTTGCTAAGTTAGCTGCATGGTCTGCTCTTTCATTGCCTGAGATACCGCTATGAGATGGAACCCAGACAAATAAGCTCACTATAGTTATATACATTTACTATAGTTCTTTATGGATGTGAAACGTGGCCGCTTACATTAAGGGATGAGCAACGTCTAAAGGGTTTTGAAAAATAAAGTATTGGGTAGAATATTCGGACCAAAGAAGGACGGACCGGAGAGTTCAAAGGGTTGCACAACGCCGAATTGCGTAAACTATATCCAGTTAATATAATTGGGGTTAATATAATCATTAAACATCCCGGCGAATTAAATGGGCTTGTAATATTGTTGGGCTTAGTAACGAAAAAATTCCTAAAAGGTTGATATTTGCTGTACCGAATGGTAAACGTCCGAGGGATAGACCGAAGGTGGAAAGATTACGTTAAAGCCGATTTGAAGGGACTGGGTTTGGACGGCGAAAGGTGGAGGGAGGTGTGTAATAAGCGATTGGTGGAGTCTGCATCGAACCTTCGGGTTTGCTAAGGCTTTTATTATTATTATTGTAATTTTATAACTTTATATCCGGTAATATATTTAAATAATTACATCAATATCGTAGGTTTATTGCGGAAAAATCATTAAATAACATTTTAGAAAATCAAATTTCTAATCATTTGTTGAATTTTTTTTGCGTGAAATCACAACATAACTCAACTTAAAATTTGTGTGATGACTTTCGACCTATCGATGGTTGGCAAAGAATAGCTTGAAACTCTATTTTGGTTAATTTGACAAGAGAAAAAAATAAGAATAAGAAAAAAAATAAATAAATGTAAAAAATGATAGAGATTTATTTATTATTCTTTTTACTATTTAATACAATCCTTATTTATTTACAGTTTATATGTATATGTACTTTCCAATCTCTCTTGGTACACAGAGCACAAAGGCTACAAGTTACAGAAGACTTGCAGCACTGTTTCAGACACTGTAAGATTCGCATGGAGCGTTGTAGAAATAGAAGAGGGGTGTATATTGAACGTAATAATAATAATTAAATACGTATGAAATAAAAATAAAATGTTTTGCTGTATCAGTCTTGTTATTTAATAATCACAACTCGTACATTGTTGAATGCACTTTCTTTATAAAATATTTATGGTCGTCGGTTGCCACAATTTATTTAACGTTTTCCAAAGTAAAAATAGAATCGAATTATTGAATATTTAATAGTTGACCGTTGCATTATCAAGGAAGGAGATGGTTCGGGATAGCGGTCATAAGTAGACTAAATAGTGGCAAAACTATTTTATTAAAAGCCAACGTTTCGACCTGACTTTGCAGGTCTTCTTCAGGCTGATATCATTAGGATTAGCTATATCAAAAATATTTTGTGATATATATGCATAGCAAGACATATACTCCTCCGGAATATACTGAAAATACGGAAAAATACTGGTTACACTTTTTGTGACTTATCAAAAACTTTTTGTGATAGTTAAATTTTGTCGAAAAAGTAATTTATATTCAAATCAGAGTGGTAAGTGAATATTGTGTGATGCGCGCTTCAGATATTATTGTTTTTGGTTTTGTGAACTAGGTAAGAGTGGCCAAAGCATAAATCGAGGTAATATTCTACGCTTAGTCCCGTGTTATAGAACATAAGACAAAGAATAAATTAGAGTTACAAGCAGAATCTAAGAGCCCTTATCAGTACAAAGCCCTAAATTCACCAAGATAATGTTATAATAACCAATACATATTTCTCTATATAGATTCCTTAAGTAATAATTAATATATTTGATAAAAAAAGTGGATTCATGGATTCACAAGCCGCAAAGCTGAGCACATGGAGATCGGCGATAGGTAGGGCAAGGTGACCGGACATAGCGACCCGTTGCATGACCAAGCCCTCTTCAATGGCGTTAGTTCGGCTCCAGATGGTAGCAGGTCGGAAACTAATCAGAAATGATTTGCCGATGAGCAGTTTGTTCTTGTAACAACTGCAGTATTCATAACGGACTCTATGGACCGTAGGCATTACGATATTCAATATATATTGTCTCATAGAGAGGTCATAGAGAAGTTCTTGCAACAGTAAAAAAGAATCGATTTTTTAAGAGACTAAATATACCTAGTTTGATCTTGATGGAACTCAGTTAGAAGAAGGGATTGCTAAAGAAAAAAAATAACACAAAAATAAACAGAAGAATGTAAGAAGAAGCAAACTAATTAGCTAATTAATCCTAATTTCTTTATATCATCTTTATGAACTTCTTTAAAAATATATTTATATATTTTATTACAGCCTGAAAATCATTGCTATCGCTCATGGCGTGTGAGAGTATGCTAAATGTGTTGAGGGGAATCCTGGCGAGGTTGATGGTATTTATAACCATTCCTTGGATTCTTCAAGTCCTTCCATCAATTCTCGTTTCTTTCAATCTTTATGGCAAGCGTGAGGATGGCTCACGTTTAACGGGAAAAGTTTTATTTTATGTTCCCAATCTATCTTTGATATACTGGGAGATGAAAAACATGGAAGAGTATTTCTTTAAATAAGAGGGTATTTTATTTAAACAGCAGGATCATAATACAAAATAAATCTTGAGCGAAAAAATATATAAAATAACAATAGAAAAAAAAACTGATGTGTGCTTTAGACCACACGATAGAAGTGAAAACATCAACACGGCGAAATTAATAACATCAAATATAAATGATAAATAATAGCTCATTATAAAGAGGAAGAAATTCTGAAAATTTCCAGCGCTTACAGTATGCAGGTCCGATTTTTAGTGTCTGTGATATTTTAATCCATACCTTCCATAAAATCCGTTATCATTTGGTTTTCGACAATATTTTTTCCTTTTCGCCTCTCTATCACGGTGTCGCGTTAAGATACAACTTACAATAATAATCCATTAAAGAGAGGATGAAATGCTGAATGATTCCCTCGCTTGCAGTATTCGGGTCAGATTTTTACTTCCTGAGATATTTTAATTAGTCGACTCTAGCCGACTTTACTTGAGCGTTAATACCGAGCGGAATATGACGGATCAATCTAATTGACTCTCTACAAAAAATGCAAAACGTGCCTAAAAAGTTTCACTTATTCAATTATTCTGGAAAATGAGAACAACGGACTTCTGAATCTTGTTTGCATTGGGAATTTTTTATTTCATACATATTTACTTATTTTTACCTAAATAATTGCCTTGCTCTATTTTTACGTTGCTCCATTGTGATCTTTCATTGTCTGTAATAGTGCTGGAAGTCTTTTGTTGTCAGGTGCTTTAAGAAGCGACATCTTCAAAGAGGTCAAATCTTATTACTTTTATTGCAGATTAACGCATCGTAGTCCTCTATGTATAGCCCAACTTCACTGAGAGCCAACAAACCTCGAAAGATTAAATCAAAATTCAAAGCAATGATGATTTTTTTTCAATATTCGTGGTATTTTGCAACTTCACTGGGTGCCTGACGGTTAAACTATTAACCAACAATGCTACATTCACGTGTACTCGCTAAAACAGAAAGCGGCATGCGATCTGGAGGAACTGCCAGAAGACTTGCAACACTGTTTCAGACATAGAGGAGGTAATAATCAGTAAATACATATGAAATAAAAACAAAATGTTTTGCTGTATCAGTTTTGTTAATTAATAATAACACCTCGTACATTGTTGACTGCACTTTCTTTATAAAATATTTATTGTCATCAATTGTCACAATTTATTTCACGTTTTCTAAAGTAAAAATAGCATCAAATAGAATTTTAAAAGCTTACCCTTCATGGAAATCTGGGGATGCCTGCTGTTGAGGGCTAGCCTTCCTGACAAGACTGGGTGACGCGAGCCCTCCGTAAGTGAACGGCCTGGAGTCTAGCCTCGCATGGTAGGGTATGTCCGGGTCGGGGATATCCCGGACGGTGAGGAGCATGTCGGACAGCAGCTTGTCCAGCTCCCGGTGCTGCTCCAGCCTCACCGTCGAACTGGAGATTCCAGAGTCCATCGACCCCGGGCAGGCGGGCTCGCTCCTCACCACCGCGTAGAGAGAGCCGTCCACGGGGCCGTACGTGTGTCTGACTCCACCACCATCATCTGGAAAACAATGAGTAACAACGTCAAAGTATGGTAAAAATAAAAAAAATAAATAAAAATCACAATATTTATAGAAATAGAATCAGAATTTGAGTATTCATCATTATTATAGGTTAGCAAAGATAGGGGAATAATTCAACAAATTGACCATGAAAGGAATAGAGGCAGGCAATGGAAGGGGATAAGGTACTTTCTGTTTCCTCTAATATTTTATATACGTCCCAAAATATTTCAAATTTTTAAATTAAAAATATTAACGAGTAATAAAAAAAAAAAACTTATTATAAGATCAACAATACTATAACTACTGACATAAACGTAATAATAGTCCAACACCTCATAAGGACTCTTTACGTCAAGGAGAGGGGATAGAAAAGGTGATAGGTGAGTGTTCTCCTTTCATAAATAACCAAACTGTCTGAATTTAAGTAGATATTTTATGTTAGTAACCACAACATTGACGCTTATTACCCCGAAAAACCGCAAAGAATAACATAAATCTTATTTTAATTTATCTTAAGTAAATATCAGTAATTTCAAAACGTAAATATTATTTTACATAATAATACCCGTGAGCGAAGTGGTTGTGAAGAAAGAGACAAATTTGGATAAAAAAAAAAATAATAAAAAATAACTACGTTTCTTACAAAATATTCTTAAAGAAATTAATCTAAGGTAAATAATCTTTTCATGAAATATCCTTATTTTTCTAGCTCATTCTAGCTCCGGTTCATTAAAATAGTTTTTATATTGATAAACATTTTATATAATTAATACACTATTCAACATTTTAAATATAATCATTAACGATACTAGATGCTCAATAAAAAAATATGCAGTTATTTATTATGTAAACTTTAATAACAGAAGAAAACATTAACAATTTCGCATAAACTGAAACACCATAGCAGTATCTTTGATATCGATATACTAAAAATAATGCCTAGGAAAATCATGCGTAATATTAACTTTTAAACTTATTTAACAAAACAGAAAAAACTTTTTTTTCGTGAAAAAATTATAAACGAAAAATTAGGTTTATTGGAATAAAAACAGTTTTTTTAAATAGATAACAGTGATATAATGATTATGAATCATAGCAACAGAGTCGAACTCCCGTCCTCTTGTTATTTTCTTTGACTTCCGGTATCTTTTCATAATAATTCCACGTCCAGTAAACATTTGATTATTGATGGTTGTGGAATATTTAGTAACTGACAAATAAAAAAACGCTTTTTATTATAGGATAAAATGATATTAGTCGACTTATTTTCAAAACCCAACAAATAATGACTGGATTCGGACTTAATCAGGTTATTTTAAATAATATTATTTTTGACCGTTATATATTTTTATTAAAAAATTAGTCTCTAACATTTCTGTATGTAATTCATAAGTAGCATTCAACTTATTTAGGTTTATTGTTTCATTTGTTGCTGGAAAAAATACAATATAGTACACATATGATACATCAATGAATTACATAATGGAACAAAAATAATGCAATCAGATAACTAACTCACGTCATGATTGTTACTACACCGGTACTTAGTAGTGAAAGAGAAATTATTATAATTGACAGGGACTCATCCGAAGGGAGAGAATAACAATAGGTGGATGTATCCGCCATTGGAAAGCTCTCATTATTTCTCATTCGTGCGATGAATAATGTAAGAGCAATTAGTGTCCATCGTGTTATTTCAGATATGAGTATTAATCTTAACCTTACATCGACATTCAATCCAATCGATGGCTCTTGCTATGAACATCCTAGTAAAATATTTAGTACACATTAGTGCAGACCATTAGAGTCGAACTAAGGAAAAACTGAAATGGTTCGTGGGCAGTAAAACATACCCCATCTTTTGACCTGGTTGGCTATTACACCATTTACTATAAAAAGATTCATTATCAAGGAAATAACATTATGATGGTGGTAGTACCTCGATTAAGTGCCATATGCCTTGAAGACACAAATGACTCTTAGTGCATTCCTGGCTTTAACGGAGTAATTACATCTCAAGAATTCGAAAATTACTGGCTATCAAAGGCTGTGAGATTACATTCCACTTTTTTTTTTTTTCGTCTTTTGAGGAAAAAAAAATACTTTTTTTAATCATAGCACATGCTTGTATTAATTGTTGAAAGCTTATATTGCTTATGAAAGCAATCTGAAATGAGATTAGTAAAAACATCCTTTGCATTTGATGAAGAAAATAAGGAAATCTCATTACTTGTAAAATGAGAATTGTATTTTAAGAGTTTATTTGAAGATTGATCCTGATCAGCTCATGTCTAATTTTACAAAAAATAAGAATGTTTTTACGTGAAATAAAAGATAATGAACAAAAATCAGACCATTATTCTTTTATAACAATCCATTTATTCTCAATTTAAGATTTATAGATGTAGATAACTAATAATAATATATAAGGTTGGAAAATAAATTTCGTTTCTCAGGAGAGAAATAAGAGCATGGAAGTTTATGATACATCACCATGTACACAATTATGTTTATAAACAATGGTAAATATACAATTCTTCCTAAATGTTGTTTTGACTAATCATAAATCCATGAATAAGGAAACTTAATGAGCAGCTTGTATTAAAATCACAATATGCATTATAATTGACGGTGAAGTTATTCAATTAAGAAGTTATTAAGTTATAGTTAGTTACCTACTCTAACTAGCAGACTGTTGGAGTAGGTAGGTGACTTGAGAACTTGGCCAACCTCAGAAGGGGGTCATCCTTCCGAGTACTGACCGAGGCCAACTGTGTTCCACTTAATTATTAGCATGTGTGCCAGCTAAATATACCTTCATACTCGCCAAACTTACTGCCTAAATATTATAGACAGAAATAAATATTTTTTATGTTGCATAACTGCTGTTTATCGATGTGTTTATGTAAAATCATTTTGAATATAATGAATATGATGATGGTTAAAGACGAATTTCTATCCTTGAAATATTTAAAAATAATCTCCCATATCTATAAGAGGTAAATACGAAAGTTGGTTACTGTCCGTCTATCTACTAATAGAACTTAGATAAGTATGGTAAAAACATCTATACATGATACCGAAGTTTGCTTCAATGGTTTTTGAACGAATAAACTATTCAACGAAGAATTCATTCATTAATTTTTTTTTTTAAAGAGGAGTTGTATAATCATGGGATATATCCGTACCTCATTTGTAGTTTTAAAATCTTTATATACAGATTTTTTAAAACAAAAAAATATTTACACTTTAACATCTCATTTTATACACAAAAATAGGCATGATATGTCAATTACAAGCAATATACCAAATATTTAGTCCCATTTATATTTTCGTACTAATCGATATTGACGAGTTTTTATTTATTTATTTAATTTGTATTATTTTAGTAAGTTATAACTTCATTCCTTGTTCTATCAGCTCGAGTCATTTCCATATTAAATCAGTTTCATATCGAGCTTGAAAATCCCATTTAAAAATCTAGCTTTTTAAAATTAAAATAAATGGTTTCTGCTTTGAATTTGTTTGAATATTTTTTGCTGACTAAATTCTACAAAAACTATTGGGTTAAAATATGAATGGACCAACATTCATCTTTTAGCATAAAAACTGATCAAAGGAATTAATTGTCCATTGTGTAGGTTGATTGCGATATGTTCTTTAAATTCATGGCAAGTAAAATACTTCATTAGAAAGAACAAAAGTGCCGACGAGGAGGAAGAGCGGAGGAATATTATGCAAGAACGGATCAGGATCATGTGTCGTTCTCTGCTGAATTCCAGTTTCAGAGGAATGCTCAATCTTGAACAAAACATTCTTGAAGAGTTTGACAACATCATTAGGTATTAGGTAGTATCTTTTATTTTATAAACAATGATTTTATGAACTCATTTTTTGCGTCAAAATATACTTTTTTTTTTCGCCATCGCAAACCAGGTAAGGTTAAGTAGGTCGAAATCGAAGGTTTGTGTGGTATAAAGAAACCTCACGTTTACATTCACTGTGCCCAAAAGTCTTTCGCTGTGACCTACAAAACGTACACAGTGCTCGTATATTATACTATCCCTTGTCCATCCCCTTAAGCCAGTAAAACTTTAAGTACAGGAGAAGAAATATTGAGAAAAGCTTATTTATGGCTCCACGACTTAATGGTTTCTAAAGGAGGATAAAATTTTATTTTACTCAGTTTTCGGAATTTACAATATTTTATAACGGATTATGTATGAAGTGTGATATGCCAACGACTATCACTTTCCAACAAAATAAATCTTTAAATCATTATTTGGACTTCCCGCTTGTTTTTATACTCGTGAGACCGAATGAGGAAACTCTGCAGGAAATTAGGTACGGAACTAAAGATTTTCCGTTAGCTGTTTCGTCATTTCATTAACTTCGGGTCCTTTTTATTCGCTTCAGTAACTAGCTTCCAATACTTAACTACACTGCTTAACGAAAAACTACAGTTATTAAACAATTTACAAAAAAAACTAATACTAATTCTATTTAAGGAAGTTCATTGGTAAGGTTTCTCTAATATTGCTTCCAGGCTCGTTTAGCAAGTTTCAGGACAACCGCACGTAAATATGAAAATGGATCATTGAGTTTTCTCGCTTTTTCATTAACCTCATTTAATCCCTCGCGATAGATAAAATGAAACAATAGTTTTTCTTAATAGAGCTATCGATCTGGAGATGGGAGGTCGTTAGAGGAGTCGGGCGGGAAAGCTATTCATCACCTAGCCACTCCCCTTCGCCAAGACCTTGACCCTCAACTTCCAAACTCTTGTACACTTTTTGAATTTTTTTAAGGGGAAAAGTTTTGGACGATCTGTCAGTTACTACGACGCGGTAATAGATCAATAATAAATCAATTTAATTTGGATAAAGAATGACACAGAAAGAAGAAAGGATAACCAACCTATCTAGATCTAGAACAACTAGACAGGATGAGGGTTTTAAAGGATAAGCTATACATCTTCCTTCGATAGATATGAAATGATTCAACACATCATTCATCAAAAATCTTGATTGATGCATTACAAATATTCGGTAAAATTACCGCTTTTTTGCAAGAATGGTGGAGCCATACTTTGTGCTAATAAAGAATCGTACATATGAATTCTCAAGCTTGCAAGAAAAGGATTTGAACCGATATGTAAACGAATATAATTATTGATGAATATTTATATACGTGTTTTAGCGTAAATAATATAATAATCCGTGGTACAAACCACTTTTTATCAAATTATTAACATCCACCTGAAACGTCTTAAATAACTTTTCCTCATCCTAACCTACAAATATTTTATTTAGAAAAAATTCTCGATTTTGAGGCATTTTCAATCTGGAGATTGGCAAACTTTGTATATTTAATTAGGAACTAAAAACTCGTAAATTTGCTGTCTACTTGAATCGTAGGATGATTTGAGAGCAAAGTCGATAAAAAAGGTGGCCTTCAAAAATATAGAGCCGTTTGAAGTTACCTACACTCCAAAATTGTCAAAATAACGAGGCCATAGGCCAAGTAGATAGGCCAAATGGCTCAATGTTTGCTACCTTTTTTATCGATTTTGTGATCAAATTATCTTACGATCCAAGTGGAAAGCAATTGGGTATTTACGAGCTTTTAGTACCTAATTAAATAGACAAAGTTTGCCAACCTCCATATAGAAAAAAAACCCTAATTCCAAGTGTTTTCTCAAATAAAATAGTTGTACTTTACGATGAGATAAAGCTACTTACAAAGTTTCAGGCGGATGTTAATAATTTGTTAAAAAGGAGTCTGTCTGTACCACGTACAAACAAATTAAAAAAATAATGAATGTACTCAAAATTAGTCTAGTTAAGAATAGCTGCAGAGGATAAACTATAGTTGTTTCCACAAGTGATGGTGAGGGGAGAGGATAGATTTCGGAGTTCAATCTGGCTGATTGTAAATAATATATAAAGGTATGCTTCTGTCTAAGCTGTTTATTTTACTTTATGTACATTTTATTTATTTATATTTTTTTTTCTCTAACTTATTTTTCTCTATTTTTTTATTATTAATATAACTAATTATAACTAAGATAATCACTACTTAAAACTGTTAAAAGAATACATGAGTATTAACTATGGGAATACATAGAAAAACCTTTGTAGTTTTTCGAATCGTATTTTTCTTGAAACAATAGACAGTTGACGAACTCCTAAAACAATTTTGTTTTAATATAAATACTGATATATATTTTCTCCACCGTTAATAACAAATTTCGTTCATTCACTAAATTAATCATTAGTTGGCTCAGTTCTAAGTGAATGGAGATGCCAAATGACAGTATTTCATGACAATGTCTCGGCTGTATGCCGCATTCTCAATATTGCGAATAGCATTGCCAATAATACGCAGTCCACAAGCACCTACATTTTGAGATAAAGAAAAAAAACTTCAAGTGTGCAGATGAAAGTTTGACATAAATATACATTAAATGCCTCTGGCCTTTGAATAATATAAAAATTAATCCTTGCAATGAAATATGTAATATACATCAAATGTTAGTACACTATGTACAAATTTATAAATTGTCCTCAAATATATTTCTAACATAACACATAAAAAATGTTCAAATGGTCAACCTTTCCTAACTTTAGTGGACAGTGTGAGAAATAGAAAGCTGTGTATCGGCGGCAAAATATGAAGGCGAGCGACCTCGGGAGAAATCACATTGCATTAGGGCTATTGAATAATTCATTATTGCTGTAAATTTATGCTTTGTTTTACCGCCATGACGAGGTAGAAAATAAAATACGTCCCAAGACAGAAAGCAGAAAAGAAAGAAGAATGAAGCTACAGCAAACATTAATAAACATAAAAGAGGCTTCAATATACTCGCATACAGTTCTATTCTGATACAACATTTAAAAGATTAAATCAATAAAAGGAAAGTAAATTGAATACATTTCTGAGATGAATTCGTACAGTAGTAACCACGTAGTTACGATTACTGTAAATGGTCCTCCAAAATGCATCGCAAGGTCGCTTTAAATGCCTTCCTACATTCACTTCTGTCTAATTACCATCAATTAATTTTTATTTTTTTCAATCAATTTGATTCATAAATTTCCTTAAACAAATTCTTTTCCTAAGAAAACTAGCTAGCTTCTTGTCAAATCTCTTGTTTCCCTCCAATTCGAATACGGTTACTTGGTGTAAGGAAGGATGTCCACAAGACTGGAGGAAAGACTGAAGAGACTCGTGAATTGCTTCATAAGATTGAGCTCCGGGATTCCTAGGCGTTCGCATGTTTCCAGCTTATACACCGAGTTGAAGTGGATCTATCCTATTTCTCGACCGCAATTCCATCTTGATATTTTCCTTTTCCATGTCCTCAGAACCAAAACTCCTCCCTGCATCCTAGATATCCATACACTATCGTCCTCTATCCACTCTCATAATACCAAATCTCAACCTATAGATCTATCTATTCCCTCCCATTAAATCTCTTTCTTCTGCAAATCCTTCATCATTCGTGCTACCTCCGTCTGAAACTCATTACCCATCTCATACGTCAATCCACATCCACAAATTCATTCAAATAATTTCTATTCCACCAACTACTAACAACGCATTAAAACTTAAAACAGTTAATTGATAAGAGTAATTTTATTTTTATTTATATTTTTTTTCTTACTATTTTTCTTAGTATTTTTTTTTATATATTTGTATTATATCTACATGCAAGACTGAAGTATATATTTTTTCGAACTCTGCTGTTATTCTAAGATGAGTTTAGTCCCAAAATAAAATTATTTTTTATTTTATTTCTTTTCAAATATCAAATATCATTTTTTAATGAAATATTTAGGATGATATAGTTCTGGATTCATCCATGTATCCATTCAATAAAGATTTGATTTTATGAAAAAGATTTAGCTTTTACTTTAGTCACGATTCCAAACAAAAAGTATATATAAACCTAGTCTGATTTTGTAAATAGTAGAATATATTATATTATAATATATATAATATATTATATATAATATATTATAATATATCATGATTTGACTGGAAAGGACAATAAAATCTTTGAGATTTCATTTAAGCATGCACAGATTTTATTGTTTTAATTCAAATTTTATTCTTGAATTTTTTTTCAATAATCCTCTGTTTTAACATTTATGATACACATGGATGTTGTTCTAGAGGTACAATCATACTATTTTAACGAGTGAGGGAAGGTCTAGATTCATTCCGTGGGTCCGTCGCGAAATAAATTACAACCCACCCAGGCCGGATTCGAACAGTTGTCTCTGGACTCGAGAATGTCATCAATATTCACTTATTGCCAATTACAAATTAAAATAAGGATCATTTGGTATTTCCACCAACTACATTAGCCGAAATGTATTAAAAATAATCGCTGGATTTAAAACTCTTTCCATATCATGAATAACTAAATATAAACTTTCACTGCTTAGTACAAAGGCAGATATAAAACTTGGCAGTGTACGGCTATGTCTGTATAGTGCTTTATTACATCAGAGGATCAGGTATATGGAGGCAATCAAAATTGTTTATGTGGATGGTTATTCCATTCGGAAGGGTGGGCTTCTGACAGAACAATGGATCCAAGACCGGATCAGAGATTAGATTTGCTATCTAGATAGCGATAAACATCGATATACGCTATCGGAATAGCTGTATACGTACATGTAAAATGAAACGTTACGGACCTATCAAAGTTATTTCTACTGATAATAATGTTTGGACGATAACATCTCAAGCCGCTTATTTAATTTACCAAATTACAGTTATTATGAGCATTAAATACAATATCTATATAAATTGATACAATATCTATGTAACAGGTTTGGAACAATAGCAAAATAAAATTGCCTAATTAGAGGAAGTGTTCTGAACGTTTATATGTAACGAATTCTTCATTATTTTAAGTTTAAAATAGCAGTGATTTGTTTAGTTAAATATACAAAGCAATAAAACATACCTTTGTGAAAAATTAGAATTTTATTTTTAAGGCTGTTATATTAAAGAAAACAAAGCCTAATAAAAATACTAATACATCAATTAGTAATAATGAAAAGAGTGATATATTGATTTATTTAATGAAGGTTTGTTAAATTTTTTTTTAGTAGCTACCGGAGGTACCGAGGTGTATATTTGGATCAAATACCTGATTGACTATTGCACATATATGATATTAACATCACCAATCTTGCTTAGCAAATTGATCTAAATTATTATTGCAAAAGGTGTTTGTCCTTCCGTTTTTATTCAGTATTCTTTGAGGTGCACCAAAATGAGTAAATTAGAATGAAATTTATCACAGATTTGCTGAGAGATAAGAGTGTAAGTCACCGATTTTTCGATGCTTTATACGAGTAACTTTAGTTTTAAAAATTCTGTATCTCTGCAATCCATGGGAGTTCTTGGGCTCAGTATATTTTAAGGAACTAATATTTCTTAGTCAATGATAGTGCAAGGGAATTTTAACGAGATTACACTCAACCGTTAGATTTTCCCCCTTAATTAAAAAATTAATTAAGAGTTAGAACTTAATAGAAGCAGAATAAGCTCCCCATCTTAAATTTTAATTTCACAAATAAATTTTAAATAGAATAGTGTAGTATTACAGATAATATATTCAAATTAGTTATGATCGTAAAGGTGTTTTTTTTTTAATTTTGTTTTGATCTATAATTATAAAATAGTTTGTGGTACTTGATTCAGGAATTGATAAGATTTTGTATGGATATGGTCATGACTCAAGAGTACCCCTTACTTGCATTAAAATCTCTTAGGAGAAATAACACCCGATTTGGTAATGTATGCTACACAAACTCAAAGATATGTGGGAGGGAGGGGGAGAAGGCATTATACCATACTTAAGAAAGAACAGCGTAGTTTTACACACGGCTGCTTCTTAAGAGGTCTTTATGCTCACCCAAGCGAAAAACTTGACAATATCCCATAATCGGTAAAATACTTGCTGCATTAGGAAAAAAGTCATTAAAATCATTTAATAAAAATCAAGCACAAAACTCTGCCAGATAATGAAGAGCAAATCGCCGCTCTTTTCAAATTGCATTG